GCCTACCTACCTACCTACCTGCCTACCTACCTACCTACCTACCTACCTACCTACCTACCTACCTACCTACCTACCTACCTACGTGCGTACATACATACATACATACATACATACATACATACATACACACATACATGGACTCGAAAATGACACTCGTACTAATCATGGTATGGAAAGCTTCGTGCAAGATGCGAGTTGGGTAAAGTCCCGTGTTTCGGATTGCCGCTCTCACATGTTTGTCACACTTGAAATCCTGGCACAGTTTCTCCGGTAGGCCCGCATACATAAACCTAGCTATCCTCGTTCGTGCTCGCTCCTAAGCCCTACATGCTGTTTAGGCTCATGGCTTGACGCAGCCTGACATGAACCTGAAGCGAGACGCCCAAGGTTCGCCCGGAGCCACAATGCACATAAAGCAAGAAAACTAGCCGGCGGGCAGAAACCAAAATACCCCTTGTGAGAACCATATCCTCTGAGCACAGGACCAACAAGATTTTAACTATGATACACCCCCACGGCTTCCACGGCTATAGATAAACTCACAGTCAATTCATTTTGAGAAGTAGCCAGGACTGTGACATGGAAGCATGGACAGCATGGGCGAAACGCACCTGGAACTGCGAAGGACGAGTTTTTGTAAGGAGGGCTGTCGACGGCCGTGAGCCAATCAATGTAAGCTGCAGAATGATGTCACGTGCGCTGCGCGCTGCTTCACCGAAGTGACGCTGGAGATTCCTTCTGTGATTGTGCAGGACCGGTTGGAGGTGGTCGGCCATGGGTGGCACACTTATGGAATCAACCGGCTCAACTGTGATGATTCCGAAAAGTGGGCACGTAATAATCATAACAGTGTTTCTTTTCAGGCGGCCAGTGCCGTTGGGGACCGTCTATATATAGGGAGTGATGCTGGTAGCAACCACCATGCCATGCCTCGCTACCGACACACATAATTACATGGAGCGCATGGTCGCCAAAGGCCAGGTGTCAAGTTCTACAAGTATGTTATAGACGATATACTACATATCTCTGAACCCTGGCCAACTTTTGGGGCCAGATCGGTTCCGCGAGCGCTTTCCGCTCGCCCCAGGGGCGCCGTAGTAGGGACAGCAGCCGCCCTGGCACTTGGGGCAGGTTGTGTAGGGTTAAGAGTTTGGGTTTATAGGGCTTGCTCGCAAAGCCTGCAATTTTGGTCCTCGTGGTACACGTTTTCTAGCGGGTCTTGGCTCGCTCGACCAACACCTCATGTCTCTCTTGACTCCTTTAACTCTGGGAGTCCGTGAAGCTAGCCACAAACAATGAGTTTTTCCCACCCGCCCAGCTGACCAAGTCGCACCGCAGCCAAGTCCTCCGAACTGAAGACTGAAGTGGCCGGTTTAGGGTCAGGTTTCGGCTTCGACACAGGAAGTGCAGACTGATGCTTGGTTGCCACGGTCTGTTGCACAACCACCATGTTTCGTCACCGCGTGAGATTGCTCACGCGTTGTTGCCATACGGTGGAGGCCTCTTAAATTTCTCGAGCCAGCTTCATACGTACAAGACCAGGCACCTTGGTTTTGCGCCTGCGAAGTCTTCCAAACTTTTGACCTCGCTGTCAACACAATCAAGTCTGGATGAAGAACAACACCGCAGCGTGACACTGCATGCAAGCATTTCAGGAGCATGTTTCACCAACTGGACCCAGGGGAGGTGAAGCACAGCATCCGCGTCATGATGTACCGCATCAGCCTATCCTGCCAAAGCACCCCCTTTCATCTTACACTCTCCACAAGTTGGCAGCAGTGTTGGAGAACGTCGGACGAAGCCCTGCGTGCATTGCTCCAAGACAAACCTTAGGTGGAGTCACTGCGATACGGGTTGAATATCACACAGCACAGAGCTCCACAGTGCTCAAATGTGGCTCCTCCTCTAGCTCCAAATCTCGACTACATTGGTCCGGCGAGCCCAGACGAAGTGTCGAACTTCATTTGATACCCAGTTGTTTGGTGCAAACTGCAAGGGACCTACCAATCGCGTCCCTCCATGGTGTTAAACAGCCCTATTATATACCTCGGTGGCCCTCAGCCAGCCAAAACACTGCCTCAATCCTCTAAAGTTTAAAGACTCTAAAGCAAAAAAGGAAGCAAGCCCAACCTAAACCTTTTGAAACCGGACTTGATGACTGCCAGCATTGCCTCTTCTGCCGTTCTTCAGCCCAACCCTAAACCCTAAACCCAAAATCCTAAACCCTAAACCTTAAAGATCCCAAACCCCATAGCCCCCCATCCCAGTCGCCTCTGCAGCCAGACAGAGGAAGACCTGCCGGAGATGAGGATTTTAATTCATGCGGTTTAGGGTTTTAGGGTTTAGGGCTTTAGGGGTTTAGGGTTTGGTGTTTAGGGTTTAGGGTTTAGGGCTTTAGGGTTTGGTGTTTAGGGTTTTAGGGTTTCGACTCTCCCACTCGCACAAGGCCGGCAAGGCTCCGCATAGTTTTAGGGTTTATAGGGTTTAGGGTTTATAGGGTTTAGGGTGTTAGGGGTTTAGGGTTTATAGGGTATAGGGTTTAGGGTTTAGGGTTTTGGGGGTTTAGGGTTTATAGGGTTTAGGGCTTTAGGGGTTTAGGGGTAGGGTTTAGGGTTTAGGGGTTTAGGGTTGAGGGTTTGAGTGTTTTAGGGTTTTAGGGATCCAAATGAGCAGAGACTTGAAGAGTGACGGCCCGAGATGTCGTGGCCCTCGGCCTTTTTCTCGCAGCCGCGGCTAGAAAACCATGGTCATATGGGTAGTTCTCTAACTTAGGGTCCCAGCTTAAGTCCCCAATAGCACGGCACCCTTATAAAAAGGACCCTAAACCCTAAACCCTAAACCCTAAAAAGGACCCGAAAAGGGACCCCAAAAGTTGAGAACTACCCATATCTTGTACCGAGCGCCTCAGACCATGGCGAGGGTGGAGCTCACTCACGCCTTTCCCTCATATAGGGGCCTTAATAATTTGAATAGGGTTTTGCATATACAAGTATGTAAGTATAATAAGGAGCCCATTATTTAGGCCCCTATATTCAATCCTCACGGATGGGTAAATGGCTACGACCGTGCTCTAAACTTCGTGCTTGCGGAGCTGCCCTGGAAGGTCCTGTCAAGGCTGGAGCAACGAGCCACAATCATACAAGGGTTTAGGGGTTTAGGGGTTTAGGGGTTTAGGGTTTAGGGTTTTAGGGTTTTAAGGTTTATAGGGTTTAGGGTTTCATAAAGTATTGGTACTGTACTTGTTGAGGCCCACAGTAACAGACTCCCTTTTACACAGGCTTGCTTGGAGCTCGGTTGGTCAGGTCCCCGCAGCACACCGCATTCCCTGAAAGACTCCCTAAACCCTAAACCGCAAGAGCAGAGTACCTAATGCATTTCTCGCTTCCTCCTCGTTTATGGATGCCACTACTTTCTCGGCTTTGCTGGGTCCTCGTCAGCTAGGTCATGGGGTCTGCCAGCAGCACGACCCGAAACTTCTCCCACCCCCAGTTGCCATTCATGGCCAGGTCCTGGCACGTCCGGGCGTAGAGATGAGGGTTTGGGGGTGGACGTCTCTCAGAGTTTAGGACATTTTCGGTTCAGACATGTCTAGTGTTGAAACCACGTCCTCTCAAGTACTACTGTACCCTCAGTCTGGTCCTGGAGGGCTACGGGCGCGCTCGCGTCGACGATGTGGTGATTCATTCGGACGGCTCCTCGCAGGTTTCGGGTTCAGGGACGACCGGCTTGCGAAGCCAATGCTGGGCTTCTGCAGCCGGCATGTTGCAAACTACGACAAGAAGCGGTGGTGAGCAGGATGCCACAGGGCGATCTCAAGATGGTCCGCGTGGAAGGCCATGGGAACAGGGACAAAAGCCTCCCAGCCCCAGCCATAGGGGAGTTCGCTGCTGTCCTGCCGGGGGCCGAGATGCCGAAACACATCTTTGCAACTCCAGCAACACACTGCGGAATCTGCAAAAACTCGTCTGTGCATGTCCGAGCTGCGGTCGGCGACGGGGCACTGCAACGAATGTCAAAGTGGGGATCGTCCATCAGCAAGAACTTGTTGTAGGCGTGGCTGTGCAGCGCAACCATGCCGTTTCCCGCATCCACCACTCTGAACCGCTCCAACGTCCAAGTATCGGGGAGGCTGGGCCCAGATGGGCTGCTGTCCAAGTCACAGTGACCTGGGGCATGCTCATACATGCGGAGGAAGCGGCCGTGCGCGTTGCTGTACCTCACTGGGATGATCCCTCAAAAACACTCTCCGAGCCCGGCTCGGATCATGCCACGAACATGACTTAACGACACAATTTCAAGAGCACCCGGGATGCAGGGCCACCAGCGTATCAGGTTCGAGAAAGTTTCTCACCGGCATCATGTAGAAACGCTCATAAGACCAATGGACAGGCAGTCTTCCGTCCTCCACGGGGGCACTTGGATAGACGTGTCCGTTTTGATCCATGGTGACGAAGCGGCGGTTGACCGGGTGGTAGAGCGCCACCATTCCGTTTCCCGCGTCGACGACACGAAAGCGCTCGAGATTCCACCCAGCTGGGAAGTCGTCGACGTCCTTGGCTGTTCTTTGGTGTGGGGTGGCTGTTGGGGTTCAGTGATTCAGCTGCCCACCTTGATTGAGCTGACCATCATCTCCAAGCCTTCCATCTTGACAAAACGGTTGCTGAGGGTGTTGTGAAGCCCGATCTCCCCGTTGCCGGCGTCGACAACCGCGAAGCGCTCATAGGTCCAGTGAAGCCTCAAAGAGAAAGGCCCGTCACCTCCTCTCTGGTCAGCGCTGCCAGTCATGTCGGTGCTCCCTTTGTTCCTGGGCGCAATCGAAGATCTTACACCTTCTTCAACTCTTCCTCAATGGCCTGCATGCGACAAGCGTCTATAATACTATACGACCCGGCTGCAACTTAGGTGCATCTGCAGCCAGCGCCCATGTTTCGGGTTATAGAAGGCGGCGACTGGCGATGTGAAGTTCCGAGCCTTCCTAGGGATGACCTGGCAATGCTGGAGCGCACGCCCCAGGGTGGTCCATGATGTTGAGCCACTGTCCGCTGTATGTCCATCTTTCTTAAAGCTCTCGCAGGTCTTCAGACTCTTCGCGTTCGCGACGGACAAGCGCTCATGATCAACATCTCCAACTCGAAAGTCGCCAATCTGAACGAAGCCATCACCAAACCCGATGCCCGAGGATTTATTGACGTGGCGGCGATTCCAAAGATTGTAGCGGGCATGGTCGAAGCCGCTGTGATCCTGTGAATACATCACTCCATGTTTATGGAAGACCACCGGACTCTTGCCATCAATATGAGAGATGGAGAAGTGGTCATCATCGACTTGGCCCATGCGCCAGTACTTACCGAACTGGATGTAGCGATCGCCGAGCGTCACCTCTCCCATCTCGCCGGCGGCCACGTACCTGGCTATTAGGTGCCTTTTTAAAATCCTTCTTATAGGTGCTGGGTTTTACCGGGCTTAGATGGGGACACTATATCAATAGCGAACTACCCACCTGGCTTCACGGTTCCAGCTGTGGTCTCCCTGGGTCGGGGCTCCGTGACGGTGGTAATGCCCATCGGAGGTGAAGCTCCTCGGAACCCATTTTCAGAATGCTTACAGGTGGGACCCCCTACTTTCCACCGCACTTGCGCTTTCCTAATCTCTACATATCTCTACATAACCCTAAACCCTATAAACCCTAAACCCTAAGGCTCATGGGCGTCACCAGATCTCGGTGGGAGATCGAGAATTGTCGCCAGTCAATCGCTGCCAGCCGCCAATCCCCCAACTGTATGAAGCCGTCGCCTGCAGGACTGCTTTGGGTCAAAAGAGTGCAGGGGGGACTCCCTAAAAATCCTCCCCTTGAACTACCCAAAACCCATCATGTTTGTGTTGGTAGGGCCCCTTAAAAGCCTACATACTAAAGGGCTTATTGTGAGAACCTACCCCAAAATGAAGGTTTGAACACCAGCCCGACCTGTGGTGATGCCAGGACAGGAGCCCATCATGCTCCTTCGTGGAAGTCCCGTTGTGGAGAAACTACGGCACCCGTGGACGGGGACTTTGCTAAAGGTTTAAGGTTTAGGGTTCCCCTTAATAGTGTGATGTTGCTGTGCTTTGGCAGGGGCTCAACCCTGAATCGGCTTCGACTTGCTGCGGCTCAGCTTTGATGTGGCTGTGGTTCAATCGCGATTTGGTTGCGAGGTTGGATCTGGGCAGCAGTCTACACGACCGCTACCAGGGAACTCAACGTGAACCGATGAACGATGTTTCCATGCAAATCTTGGCTTTAATGAACCGCCAGAGATCCCGGGGAGCACCTCTTCTCAACAGCAGCCAAGCTTCTGGATGTTGCCACAGTGCCACTGCGTGTGACGATGCACCAGGTGCACATGGCCATGGCCATCGTGCGATGCAAACGGTTGTGCGCCCAGGACCGTTCCGCTGTTTTGGTACACCTTGGTGACCCGGGCGGGTGGTGTCGCGGGCATGCTTGAAGTTAATATAAGGGTTTTGGGAAATCCCAACAAAGCAGCACCGAATGCGTAGCCAGATGCTTGGAAAGTTCGTGGGTGTCCAGTGGCCGGGTGCTTGTGAGTGACGAGCAAGTCATCAAACTCCCCCACCCCGATGCGGAAGGGCCCGATTTGCAAAAATCTGTCCCCATACCCCACGCCGGAGATGCCAGCACTTAAGCCTTTCCGGAAACTCTCGTCGCCACCGGCGAGGTGCCTCCATGCGTTCCAGTCATGGCCCCCGCCCGGCCGATCGATGACATGTCCGTTGTGGCCCACGAAGAGCCGGTTGGTCCAGCCATTCTGGTGGGAGATGCTCAAGTGGTCGTCGTCCAGTGCGGCCAGGCGGAACTGACCGATCTGGATGAACTTCGCCCCAAAGACGATGCCGTGGGGGAAGCCGAGAGGCCTGCGAGCACAGCAGTGGCCTATAGCGATCAAAACAAGCTCCGACACTTCGGCACTAATTGGATTACATAGGGCTCCTGCGCCAGGCGCGGTCGCTGACACGTTCCCAGTAAAAGTGGCCATTGCTCTTGTAAATTGCATTCTGGCCACCTTTGTGGGAGATGCTGAAATGGTCGGCATCGAGAGCGGCAAGGCGCCAATTGCCGAGCTGGATGAAGCGATCTCCCCAGGATGCAAAACCGCTATTGCACTCTCCATGAGCAATCTCACCGATGTTCCTGCATCCCTGCCCAAAAACACTACGGCTGTTTATAGCATGTATCAAGTGATCGTCGTCGTTGTGCCGCGAATGATGACCGTCCTTCTTGAAGGTTTCAAGAGTGCGCCGCTCCCAATATCCATTGTCGTGATAGCGCATGAACTGCAAGGGGAGCCTCTGGGAGTCGTCAGTCTCCGCAAGCCGGAAGTTCCCAATCTGCACGAACCTGGCCGAAGCCCGAGATGCTTTGCTGACACGACATGCCAAAGCTCTGTGGACATGCAAAAAACTCCACGGAGGGACGGCTTCAAGGCCTAACGGGCCTAACGGCTAGGACCGTGAACCTGGCAAGCCATGACAAGTATTGACAAGTCTGGGAACTTCTTGCCGATGCTGATGCCCGACGGAGACCCCAAGAAACGGTCGAGGACGTTGTGGCCCTAAGTGCTCTGAGGAAATGAACTTCAGCCTGCAGGTCTATATAGAACTGAATTGGTGTAGTCTGGTACTGAAACTGACAAGCGTCAGTCTGGTTCATCCATCTCCCGCCGTCGTGCTTCCAGAACAGGCAGGTCTTCTTCGTAACAAGATGCCTCCGATGAGAGGAACGTAGGCCGCAAAAAATGCACGGAAACCACTCAAACCTAAGCCCAAACCCGACTGCTCCTGTGGGCGCGCCATCCTTCGCTTTCGTTTGCAGCGAGGCACGTCTCGGTCCCGTATGTCCCGTCTTCCCTGGCCCTGGCTGCTGGTGGTTTTCCCCTGCTCCCTAGCCCCTGCGCCCAAGACCGCTCGCAATGCCTCCGGTTTTGTTGGCCCTCCCAGCGACGCTCCCCAAGCCCGCAAAGCTGCGATGTCTCGTGCGTCGCAGAGCCACCGCAAGAGGTCGGCGCTGCGCTCCCCAAGTTGAAGCCCTTCGACACCCCTGCACGGTTGGTGTATCTGGCGCGTTGCCAGTCTGGGCGAGGCAGGTCTTGGCGGCATCGCTAGGTCTCAGATCACTGTGCAATGCCACTATGACTATGAGCCCGCAATAGAATTATCGGCAACCTTCGTTCGGCTGGATGCCTCGGGGCCGTGGCTATAGTTGAGACACCGGCCTCATGATGTGAGCCTTTCGTTAAAGTCCTTGGATGGCCAGTCGAATGCGGCACCTGGGTCGACCCGCCCCCTCGCGAAGCCAACTGACATGCACCCCCCAAGCACGCTTTCGGCTGCCTCCGCCTTTGCGCGCAGCCTTACATTCTTTCCTTCTTTGCAGCAGATTCTTTGCAGCTCAGGCAGTGGGCTGTTCAGGGCTAACATGCAGGAGTCGCGCTTTGAAGAACAGGCTAACATGCAGGAGTCGCGCTTTGAAGAACGGGCTGTGAAGGCAACATGCAGCCAAGGACACGAAATCGAGAAGTGCCACCCTTCATAGTCGCCGAGGCGGAACTTTCCAATCTGGATGAACTTGAAGCCAAACTCGATTTCTTTGGCGAACCCTAGATGCCTCAACTGAGGGCTTGGCCAGCCCTAGTGCTTGAGAAAACCCCACGGAGGCCACAGAGCTGAGAGCAAACGTTCGTGCAATAATGAATGCTGTTATTGCCATTATTCGTATTATTGCTATTATTGTTATCACTAATCTCACTGCTACTAATATATGGTTGTTATAATATGTATATGTATATGTATATATATATATATCAATATATATATATATGTATGTATGTATGTATGTATGTATGTATGTATGTATGTATGTATGTATGTTTGTATGTTTGTATGTATGTATGTATGTATGTATGTATGTATGTATATCTATATCTATGTATA